ATGTGCATGATGTTAATTGACAGTCTATACATTGAAGTATATAAATATTCATTAATAATGAATTTAAAATAAGAGTTGCAACTAATAAAAGATATAAATCGTTTATCATTTTAATACGAAAATAAACATGGACTGTTGCGGCTTCGGGAATGTCTGTCGATCAATTAACGGAAACGAAGAAGCAATTAAAGGAAAAACGGGGACGGGCGAAGAAGGTGAAGAGACTTTTCTTCGAGGTTTCGAAGCCAAACTTCCCCGAAGCTAGCCTCTACCGTCTCTTAATTCGAGGATCAACGTGTCTGTTTTCGAAGACTAAGTGCGTGTAGGGGAAATTACAGAGAGCCTTTACCCTTGTTTCCATTTTTTTCCTGCTACACGCTTTTTGTATCCACCGATAAAAGGATCTTTCAAATAAAGATTGTAAAAATTTCAATACTTATACATTTATCATGTTCAGTATTGACGTAATTTATTGCATTTACTTTCCTAATTTCCCAATCTAAATATAATTTGCACGCACAACTAGATGAGACATTAACTTATTCAATTGAAAGCTCTGACAAAATTGTACGATTGTCAATTTATATTGGAACGCGAATAGGAGAAGCTTTTGTAGGCTAGTGTACACGCGGTATGTATTTCAATTGCAAATCGATCTCGCTTCTTTGTAGTCAGCCACCTAGCGCGTACCACCTATCTTCTGATACGTGACGAGGAAGGAACAAGGCAGCAGCGTTCGTCCATCCACGCATCGCGTTCCCAGAAAACGGTTCTAATCTCAGACGTGCCGGAGACACCCGGTGCGGCCGCGGGAAAATCCATAAACTTCTGCTTTCCACCGGGATCGATACGGCACATGAATGATTAATCCGCCGTATCGGCGCGCCGCGCCGCTTTTTATTAAATCCCACGTCTCACACCCCCCCTTTATACCCTTTCTCTATCTACCGGCTCCCTTATTGACGCGCCAGACGACTTGTTTATTGTAAGGAAAAACTTAATTATTCGCATGATTTATATCAAGACACTTAATCATAAAATTATTTATCTTTGGAGTATAATTATGTCTCTTATAATTCTGATCTAGATACTGATTAACGAGAATGCACGAGCGTTCCCAGAAAAAAACAGCCTGCTAAAAATAACAAAAGTTGCGGACACTCATTTCAGATTTCTTATTACTAAGCAACGTTACGTCGACTATTATGGTAATAAACGCGATACGTGTTCGTTCGGGCGGACCAGAAAGAAACCGAGTCTACCCTAAATTTACTTTGTCCGATTGCCGACCGAATAACGCAATCTGCCGGAACGAAATAACCCGACGACGACGCGTCGCGACACATCTTGGACGTCGACGAAATTCGCGAATAAGAGACTTTGCGTAAGCTGTTTACGCGACCGTGACAAATTTTCATTGACAGCCGTGACGCTGACGTCGCGTCGCGGAACGAGTTAAAGCCACGACTAATTTTTCTGCCAGCATAACGTGATTCGCGATAAAAATTCAATTTCCACCTCCACGCGGCCCATTTGCATTATAACCAAAATTTGCGTTACGAGCGACAAAATAATAACATTTTATGACTTCACATTGACGTTTCTATAGTTAGCATACTACGATTTTTTTAACATACACCAACTCATATATCTGTTTTAAGTATTTATATTAATCGATGCAATTCCAAATCTTTGTTGATTTAACGAATTGTGTTTCATAAAAGAATTTCATTTACGATGGAACAACTATTATAAATGAACAAGTAGAACCACAATAGATGTTTAATTTGTCTAATGTCTAACGAAAAAGTGAACACCCACTACTTTTGCTCACTGCAATCAAGTTAATCGGAAGATTTATTTCTCATATCGAATGATCATCTCCGTTTCGTCCAAGTTCAGTGGAAACTTTCAAAATCGCGGCGTTCGACCGCGTGATGGATCGGCAACGCGGACAGCTGATTGATTAGTTTCTCACGGGTCATTCGCGCGATCATCCGAAATAAAAGCGGTGAGAATGATCAATGCGCATCGTCAAACCCTGACCCTTATGGAATCTCCGATTTAACAATCAGTTCCAACCCTTCCTTCGGTTCTGCATTTTAAACCTTGTACGTGTCTCTCGTGAATGATTTTTTGTTATAAATTACAACGCGTCGTTCAGGCATGCTATTATTTGTAAATTGACATTAATGAGAAGGAGAATGGCTCTTAATTGAATGATACGAAAAAGCACAGAGTCTTTTTAAGTGATCAATCAATTACTTAAAAAATAATAATTAAAATCTATTAAATGCTGCCTAATTAATTTAATCTCTATCACCGAAATAACAATTTCCCTATCTCGACGTTGGCTGATATTGCTTGGCAATTCAAAGTTCATGAAACTCATGTACATTTATGTTGCTTTCACAACAATATAAATCGTTTTACACTATTCGAGGTATTCATTAGTGGCATAATTAAGTTTCCCCTGTTTCTTTTACATCATTATTGGCTTCCGTCTCTAATGAACATTCGACTCCTGGCTCGATTACGTAAATTGCCGTTTTCAGCAATAAAACTGGTATTCGTCACTCGATAATGGCGGATAATCGCGGTACAATTAAAGCGTTTCGATCAGATACACAGAATATATTAATTGTAAGTCGTGTTTCAGCCGTTTAATAACACGTCTGCGCGCCAACGTTTCCGATAGATTTTTACCGATCCGAGATACAGATTGTCAATATTTAACAGCTGCGATACGGCTGGGACGTTAAATGATAAGCTACCGATAGCTGATCAATGCATCTTGATTCCGATGTACAACTTAATCAGATCACACTTATTTAATTCGAGTCTAAATGGATTCAAGTTCATCTGCTTCTAATTATTCGATTGCACATTTCTTAACGCAATAAATTATTTTTTATTGCGAAGAACTAATTTAGAGATGATTTATAATATCCTCGAAATACTTTTAATGATTTACGAGTCGATTAATTATATCTGTGACTTTATTGAGCAACGATTGACCACTGCAGAATGTTGCATGCGTAGCTAGTTAGCAGGACGGGCTCCGAGAAGCGTTTTGTTGGTTGGTGAGGAATTAACGCGATTAAAATCTTATCAGCGGACAGGAGACGCGAGTAGCTGTCGAGATCATTAACTGTCGCGGCAGCGACCAACTTAATCCTCTTAATTTCCATATAAACACGGCTCTAAATTCAGCGTGAACCGAAAAAGGAGAAACGACCGGCCGACTGAAAATTACACGGTATTACGTACGAGATTGTACAAAATTGCTTTCATTACATCTGGCGACATTGTAGGGGTTTTTATTTTCGGGAAAGATGAGACCGTTCCCGGGGATGAGAATTAATGAACTTTACGTACGAGACGTTCGGATGGTAAATAAGGAGGAGGAACGGAGAAGATTATTGCTCATTCTAAAGAGGAAATTATTGTTTACGGTACAATATTCTTAATTTATGTACACATAATACGTATGTATGTGACGTGTATGTTATTATCGATACATAAATTGTTAATGTCAATCTTCAATTTAATTCATAACACACGTCCTTAATTGATTCCTTAATCCAAAATATTGTTATTAAATTCTGCTTTACAATTTCTGACATTTAACGATCCCAATTCTTGAAAAGATTTCACATTCTCTTTATTTTGTAATATAATGCACTGTACCAGGAGTTTCTTCCTCCTGCAGAGATAATTTTATGATCCATCGAATCCTGTGACGAGAACCCTATCTAAAGGCTTGGCTCGCTATCAAATCCGGGACTAGTCCACCATTCCAGATCTCACCGAGGTAAGTGAAAAACCTGGACCGGGCGTGGAACGCGCGGCGGGCGATAAATCCGGCCGCGAACTGCTCGACGCGGAATATTTCACCCGCGTAACGTCTCGCGTTAACAACTCATCGAGCGGCGTTACGCGCGCCATTCGAGATTACCGGTGCCAATAACCTTCCAGGTTGATCTATGTATGTATGTACATAACTACGCGCATACACTCCCGTTCATAAGTCACCGGACATTTACCAGAAAGTCGAATAAAATACCGAATTGAATTTCTAATACAATAGATCATTCGTTGCTCATAGAATTTATTAAAATAAACTGGAGTTTTATGGTCAGTGAATTTATTCATCGATTTATTCAAGACTGTGTAATAATGCAATGAATAAAGAGTAGAACGAGCAATTTCGCGATTATGTCACCAAAACATTTTTTGCAGAGACGGTAGGAATTTTTAAATTAGTTGCTTAGTTTTTTTTATTGAAGCCTGAGGAATGCACAGTGCATCTTTCTCGGTCATTTTAAATAGCACGCGGTTACCGATCTGGAATATTGAACAGATTTATGAGATTTAGTCGTATACGTAACTTATGGACAGGAGTGTACGGGGCTCGCGCGGGATCCGCGAGAGGAACGGAGATACGCGAAGTAAGTAGAAGTAAGCCCGTTTATTGTCGTCCGTGGCGTGGCAAGGAGCGGGACTCGCTTAGCCCAACAATGAAACCCCGAGAAAAATGATGATCGTCCCCCCCCCATGCCTCCGCCGTGGCAGAGGCAGTCATCCGATGGGTTTCTTCGCGCGCCGCTTAACGACGATTTCGATCGTTTACGACTTTAATAATTTAGGCGCGGCCCGGCTCGCGAGCCTCGACACGTTTTCGCTCGTAAACCGCGCGACTAAATCCGTATTTATGGGGAAGAGGAGGCAGCCAGTCCCGGTAACCTGGGACCGTCTCCTTCATCCTGCGCGGCTCTCTTCCTCCTACGGCAATTCTATAAGCCTGCTCTTTCTCTCGTTCTTTTTACTCCTGTCTATTCCTTCATAGCAGACTAGCTTCGACACGGCCTGAATCTCGCGAGGAATCGGGCCGATTTCAGAATTTCGCCTGATTTTGTCCGACAGTATACTCACGAATAAACGGTTCTAATTTAAATGCAGACTGTAGGATATGAATTATTCTTTCTTTGGTGACTTACCGAGGATGCGGACGACAGAACTCATCTACGGCTCCGTCCCTGGTGTCCTACAACAGATACAGAAACGTTCAGCATGAGGATTTTTTACTTAATTCTTAAAACTAACGTCTGATTAATTATGAAAAATAATGTGAGTGTGAACCATTATCTGATTTCATTACTTGACAGGAACATTTTCATACAACCAACGTTTTTATTCCTTATAATTAATGGTATAATTATTCAAGCATAATACAATCGTGCGCGAGATAGATATATATTTTGCATATTCCTACTACGCATCTGATTCATTATACCGAACAGAAACGAAAAAGCTTGGACTGGCGCACGGTGCAGGTTACAATTAAAGCGGCATTAATTAATTGCTAGCGCAACAATGCACCCGGTGTCAGGGCGTAGGACGGAGGTGGGAGGGTGGCTCGGGGCCTTCATAAATTTGCATGTCTTTCGCCGCGAGAATCATTTTTTACAGCCGTTAGGCGAGTCAAGGGAGGCGCGGGGAGGAGCGACGGACCTACAGCAACGCGCGGCTATATTACGGGTCCCCATGGTGTTGCTCATAATAACCATCGATGTCTCTCCGCGGGCGTAGAACCAGCCCCCGAGCTGCGATCTTGTTATCCTCTCGCCCGATTGATTTTGTATTTATTCTTCTCCCGAAGCAGGCTATACAATAGTAATATTCCTAAGCCTTCAATTCTGTGATAGTTATACTAATTAAGATTTTTATCTTTGTAGTTCTACGACTGAATTGACATTTGTATGTGGAAGTACGCAAGCCTGTTCGTTTAGTATAAAATAACAAGAAATGCACAGAATGTAACGTTGGAAGAAAATAATTAATAAAGTAGAATCGATGGAATTGAAGCAAAGATGCAGGTGTCATCGTATTAAAAGATCATAAGACGAGACTGATACGTGGGTGGTTGTGCACGAGGGTCGACGTATGCGGGTTATTTTTAATCACGACCCCCGAGGGTAGCCACGGACGGGGCAGAAGAAGAACGCAGTTATAATCGATACAGGTGCTATAGAAATTAATTCGACGGTCCGTTCAATCGGCCGCGATAGAACCCGCGGCGGACAAGCCTCGATATTTGAGATATTCATTTGTCAGCTGCCGCGGTAAAATACGAACATAATTTCCGACGGTTTCTTTGCAATTTGATTAAAGCCTTGATCTAGGAAACTGACAAGCTTTCTATTATTTTGTGTATCGATTTGAATTTCGAGTTTCCTCGCGTTCCTGCCCCCAGAGCTCAGCCACCTACCACCGTTCGGCATCGGGACATATTTTATTTACGATGTCCTGCATTATCATCGGGCCGGACGCGCGCCATTGTGGCCTACGTGCGAGCGAGTATTATTGCGTTTGTGAAACGCGAGGGAAAAAGAGAGACGGAGAAGAAGTTTACGCGTGGGCGAAACGAGCAACCGAACCGTACAAAGTGGACGTATCTCGCCTCGACTGGAATTAATAAACAGCAACAAATGACCGCCTACGTCCGCCCCTTTCTCCGTCACCGATTTCATCGTTCTGGTAGTCGATCCGTAAAAGATCCCCTCTTCCCCCCATCCCTTATCCCCGTCTCTCTTCTACTCTCTTTATCTTTTTCTCAGCTTTACTTCGGCCCGTCTTTTTCCGTAGTCTTCGCGGCTTCCTCGGTCCCGGACCGCCCGCGGTGACCCTACCGGAGGCTCCTGGATCCTCCGGTTGGATCATTTGCGCAACGATCGTTACCGATCCCGGGACTCGCGTCGTTAACTCTTCGTGAAACGATTTTTTGGGGGGAATTCTCTCAGGAGGGATTTTAGACATATCCATACATATGCATATTATAAAACTGCGTTCCAATGTATGAGAGTTTCGAATTGTTTGGGCAAATTGATGGAGGCTTCGAAGTTGGGGGCTGTCATTCCTGCTTTAGAAAGGAACGAAACTGGTCGGACGAAAGAATGCGGCGATAGATTATGTTTACACAATTAAGTCAAGAGATGTCTAAAATTTTTAATCTGTTTCTGTGGTCAGCTAATCGTATATGGAATCGTCAAAGAATCAGAGAAGCGTTCGAACAGATGTAAGAGAATCGGTTCAAACAATTCGAAAAAGTGAAAGGGTCTTTGAGAGAAGCGGTGGCACGCTATCGAAATCAAACATCGAAGGGCAACCTCGCCTTGAGGCATTTCCCTTTGTGGGACAGAGGACGTGGGCACACGCACGCACGCCGCTGAATAATTAACTCCGCTTTGCCGGCGCCGGTTTTATCGTAATTATCGCGCGCCCTACAGCCTGGCTCGTTCGCGGCCGTTGCCGCTACCGCCGCTGCCGCGCACCGGCTCGAGCACCGATCGATCGTAGATCGCGAAAATGATCGACGCTAGTAGCCGAGGTGTGTCACTTACCACTGTGAATACAAACGACTCGCGTTCTTTCGCCCAGTTATACGCGGTGCACCTTTCAACCGAATATGAGTCTGTGTTGCGTTGCTGCATTACTATGTATTTTTAGATTATTATGCAACGACATACTTGTGCCATAATCTATCTGTACAATTTTATTAATGACCTAATTAACATTTCGAAATATGTTCGAATCCGACGAAGTAAAAAAGTTGTTATATAATCGTAGAATCTTTTGTGTAAGAAGTTTCTTGTGTGAAACGTTTAAGATAATTTTTGTAAATCAAGAACTCAAGATTTCTAGGAGTCACGAAAAAAATTTCATTGAGATGATATAAGAGTTTTATTACGTGTCTGTTCAATCAATTTAAAGAAGTGACGTTATAATCGTAGGTTTGCATGGAAATTTTCGCGAGTATTTTTATAACAATAATTGCGACGACGTCGAGACGAATATTTCAGTCGACCGAGACTACTCTCTATCACCAGGCGAGAGAAAAAACACGATTGTTTCAATTTTAGAATAAGTGAGGAAGCTGACCAGTTCTGCCCGATATTTTTAGACTCGCAGTCTCCACATCCAGCAACCAGGGTTTCATTCAAATGCAATTGTTGATTCAAGATTTGCGAGAGGAACGAGTGACGGTATTTACATTGTCACGAAGGAACAGTTTTCATTGTAGCAGAATGAACTATAAGGTACGAAGTTGTTTTGCTAATATTTTAATCTAACCGATATTTGTACATCGTGTCTTCTGCCTATTTAATTTTTGCATATGTAATTGCATAAAAATCTTGAGGCTAGCGATATTATTTTATTATTTGCGATTATTAAATAAATCCTACCTTCAACGATCAATTCCTTTCATTCACTAAATTATTCACCAAACATGACATTTTACATATTATTAGTCACAAATTTGCAATGTTATAATTATTGCTAAATACGCGAGTGAATCAGATTTGCCGAATGATAAAACGTCTACGTGTTCGTGTAATGCAGCGAGCATAGATTTTCACGAAGGCGCGAAGGTGGAATTGCGAAATCGGCTCGAGCGATGCACGCGGACAATCGCTGGGCGTAGAAGCGACTGCCACGGAGCGGAGTCGATTTGCATCGGTAATTACCGCGGCACGCCGTTAATAACTAATTAATGGGAGAGGTCTGAGACGCGTGACGCAATCGGCGCGCTGGTCGCGACTTTTAATTGATCGACGATTAATCACGCTCCTCTATCGTCTTTTCCTTATCGATCCTGCCTGGATCTTTATCTTCTCATTTTCAAACCCCGGCGACTGTGTAATTGCAAAAAACTGTGGATTCCTGTATGTAAAATCAAATGTTTGGCAAACTATCTATCTAGCGGATGAACAGACATTCATTCATTTTGTATTCAGACAGTAATTTTTTCCTTTCGTTCAACTACTATTAGTGGGAAGAGAACTAAAGACGTATAATTAGATTTAGAATCCAACATAAGTTTTTTAATTTATCACTGCTGATACAATCTTAGTAAATATGTCAAAACTATAAATTCTTTCACGTCAAATTGACATTCTGTTATGGGAGAGACTGTACGCATTGATAGGCTGGCATTTGTTCGTTCGACCGCTACCGCGTACAATGCTGATAGAAAGTCGCGGCAAGATTGATAGAACACATTCTCGCGACGCTTTCTGGTAGCCGGTACGAACCATCGGCAAGAATGATGAATTAATGAATTCCCCGTTAAGTCTCAAATTGCTTAATTCAATGGGCTGCTTGTTTGAGTAAACGGCGGGACATCGTTCGCTTGTTCCTTCGGGCGAGAAAATGTCAACAAGAACGTCTTGTTTGATGAAGAATTTCGGGAAGCAAATTTCCATACGATTAGGAGACGTCAATAAGATTCGATCTTTCTGAAGCGAGATTCCTGAAAGAATTTTAATATCTACTCCCTTATGTAATTTGTGAGAATGCACGGAATCTGATACACGATTTAAGTTTCTTTAATAGTATCTAAAACTTACATGAGATTAGATTACATGAACGAATTCCAAGACTACTTCCTTAATTATATAACAGATATGCATAATTACTGCTGCAGCGCTGTGTAAAATTCTCAGCAAAAACTTTCACTGATGTAATAATGAAGCGTTAATAAAATAACAACTATTTCCTGCACGTTTTGCCTGACGTTACAAATCACAAAAAAATCGTATAAATACACTAATCTAAATCACATTAGTCAGTCGACTGAAAAATGAAGCTATTAATATTGACGTTACTTCGCTACACAAATCAGCTTGAATTTATTATGTTTAATTAAACAGGGAATTATAATTGGAAATGTACCACAGAATTATAAAGTAGTAAAAGATGATACATGGGAAACTTTTCTGGACTGATGTGAATAAATAAACTTGCAAGATAAGATTTATAAAAAGATATCTTCTTGAATGTTTTATTCGAATTTAATTTTAATCGTTTAGATAACGTCCAGGTGTCTTTTAAATATCTCGGAACGAGATGTGTGAGTGTAGACTTTTGCGGCAGACTGTACGAAGCAATTAGCAACGCCACGAGAAATTTATAGACAAGCGGGCCTAATGAATACCAATAATTACACCGTTAATTCCCCTTGAAAGTTGTATGAAGATTTATGGG